GTCGTGCTGCTTTGAGGTTCGGCGACAGTGGTGCCATTGGTCCATGAAATGTCGGTGTCGCCACTGCTGCTGGAGTTGTCGGTACTGCAGTCGCTGTGGTCGCTGCTGCTGCGGTGGCGAACCCTGGTTGGCTTGTCGGAAAAGCCTCGAGTCGACAAAGCGTCGCCTGCGTCTGCTCCATGTCGGTGCGGAGGCTCGCGATGTCGCTCGTAGTCGCGTAGTTGTCGCCTGTAGTCGCGTAGTTGTCGCCTTGGCCCTCCATTTGGTGATTTACAGGAAGATGCGCGACGAAAATAATCGAATTCTAGGTGCTGGTCGACTTACTGCGAGTCAAATTGACTGTAGAATCGACGAGCGCGAATTCTGTAGGTTGCGTAAATCTCCCTTAGGCGAAATTCGCGTCCGATCTTGGCCGTTGAGGAGAAAATCGATCCGACGCTCCAAATTCCAACTTTTTTGGGCGAAATTCTCTGGGCCGTTGAGATGAAACTCGATCGAACGGTCGAAACTCCAACCTTTCCACCAGTAAATCTGAGGGGTGTTCGAAAACCGAATCGAGGGGGACTTAGAAAAATTGCGCGGAACTGGTTTTACATACCCGTATCGGCGCTTTCGTCGTCGCCCCCGCGGTTTTTAAAGGCCGGAACTAAGCGGTTGAAGACCTCGCGTGTAAACCCGCTCTGATTACCAAGTGTGAGGATCTAGGATCGAGCTCAGAAAAGATGATTCAAATTGAATTGAATTGAATTGAATGATCACCTGGGTACAACACGAGGCTATATATAGGCTCGACACAAGGCCCCGTAACCAGGTGTTACGCGAAGGTTCCGCGGGTCGCGAAGCGTCCCGAACAGATCCTTACCGAATTCGGTAGAAGGCAATTCGGTGGCAACCGAAAAGCCAGAATTCGGTGCACGCAACCTAGCTCGGTGCTATAACTATAATAAAATATAGGAAAGCACCTAGCCTAGGAAATCAAGCAATTCATGCATGCATATGATTATCCTATGCTAGAAATAGCATGATAAAGTAGAGGCAAGCAAGCATACCTGGCATAAGCCGTCGTACTCTCACAACTCTGCTGCAGGGCGGCTCGGTTGCTGGGCGGCTCGGCTGCTGGGCGGCTCGGCTGCTGGTGCGGGGCGGCTCGGCTGTCGGGCGGCTCGGCTGCTGGGCGGCTCGGCTGCTGGGCGGCTCGGCTGCTGGGCGGCTCGGTTGCACGGTGCTGGGCGGCTCGGCTGTCGGGCGGCTCGGCTGCTGGGCGGCTCGGGAGGCCGGTGGTTCGGCTGCTCGGCGTTGCGGGCGCTGGGAGGCGGGGTCGCAGGTGGTGGCGAGGTCGCATGTGGCGGCGGGCCGCAAGGGTGGGCGGGGCCGCGGTGGCGACGGGGCCGCAGTGGGGCCTAAGTGGGGCCGTAGAGGGGCCGACGGGGCCGAAGTGGGGCCGTAGCGGGGCCGCAGCGGGGCCTAAGCGGGGCCGAAGCGGGGCCGTAGCGTGGCCGTAGCGGGGCCGACGGGGCCGAAGGGGCCGTAGCGGGGCCGTAGCGGGGCCTAAGCGGGGCCGACTGGGCCGACGGGGCCGTAGCGGGGCCGTAGTGGGGCCGTAGCGGGGCCTAAGCGGGGCCGACGGGGCCGTAGTGGGGCCGTAGCGAGGCCGTAGCGGGGCCTAAGCGGGGCCGTAGCGGGGCCGACGGGGCCTAAGCGGGGCCGTAGCGGGGCCGACGGGGCCGTAGCGGGGCCGTAGTGGGGCCGTAGCGGGGCCGTAGCGGGGCTTAAGCGGGGCCGTAGCGGGGCCGTAGCGGGGCCGTAGCGGGGCCGACGGGGCCGTAGCGCGGCCGTAGTGGGGCCGTAGCGGGGCCTAAGCGAGGCCGACGGGGCCGTAGCGGGGCCGTAGCGGGGCCGTAGCGGGGCCGACGGGGCCTAAGCGGGGCCGTAGCGGGGCCGACGGGGCCTAAGCGGGGCCTTAGCGGGGCCGTAGCGGCCTAAGCGAGGCCGTAGAGGGCGGCTCGAGGGGCAGTAAGGGCGGCCAATAGGGGCCACTAAGGCAGCTCGAGGCGCTACTCGGGTTAGGAGCTAAGCGCGCTCCGGGTAGGGAAGGAATAAAAATTCGTGGTGGGCCCTAGGCAGTATTCCCACTCGGGAACCTGCTCGATACCATGACGAGAAGTGATAATGGAATGAATGAACTATGAAACAGTTGGGTACAAGTACTAACCCTAATTGGGTTGTACCCCTTATGGGCTACCCCACTACAGCCTACACAAATGTATAAGCTATAATGTTCTGACAACTGCTACTGCAGGAGGCATACGACGGAATTACCTCGGGACATTTTGGGGTAGAAAAAACGCGACAGCAACTGCAGCGGTATTACTACTGGCTGGAGCTGTTGACCGACGTACAGCAGCACGTGGGCTCGTGCCCCACGTGTCAGGTGATGAAAAGCTCGAGGAAGCGGAAGGCGGGTCAATTGCAGCCGATACCACTGCCCGAGCGCGCCTGGCAACAGGTTACCATGGACTTCGTCACAGGGTTACCTTCGAACCCTGGGGGTAACGACGCGGTGATGGTCGTCGTTGATAGGTTGACGAAGATGGCACACTTCGCTGCGTGCAAAAAGTCGATCTCTGCCGAGGAGACAGCTCGTCTGTTCATCGCAGTCGTTGTTCGCCTGCACGGGATACCAGCAGCGATTATCAGCGACAGGGACACGAAGTTCACCAGCATCTTCTGGAAGAACCTCTGGAAGCAGTTCGGGACTAGGCTATAGTTCAGTTCTTCGTATCACTCCGAGACCGACGGTCAAACGGAGCGAACGAATCAGACGATGGAGCAGTTGATTCGTGCCACGTGCGACGACCGCACGACTTGGGAGCAGCAGCTACCGCTGATCGAGTTCGCGTACAACAATGCCACGTCAGCGACGACGCAGCAGTCCCCCTTCTACCTGAACTACGGGCAAAACCCTACAGTGCCCATGAGTCCGGACAACCCAACACCACGTGCACAGCAATTCGCCGAAATTCTGCAAGCTGCCCGCACCAGAGCCGCAGAAGCAATTAAAAAAGCAAACGTCATCCCTAAGCGCAACGCTGACCGCCACCGCCGCCCAGTCACAAACCAGTAAGGGGATTACATACTGCTCGACACGCAAAATCTGCGACTGCCTGACGTAGCAGAACTTCGACCGCGCTACTGTGGCCGATTCCAAATCAGCCACATGATCACGCCAGTAACCGCGCACCCACTGTTACCGACCGACTGGTACATCAGCCCTTCGTTCCACGTTAGCTTGCTTCGCCCATACATCCCAACCACAAGCCAACTGCCTCGCCACCGCCCGCCATCCATGACTCGCCCTGTATCAGAGCCGATCATCGAGCCCGAAAAAATCTTGAGCCATCGGATTCGACACCCCACGGGAATCAAGAGGATTGAATTCCTCGTTCGCTGGAAGGACCGCACGCCAACTGAAGATAGCTGGGTGCCCTTGGCCAACGTTGAAAACCACCCTGCCCTACAAGTGTACCTGAGAAGCCCGGGATTCCGCGATATACATGCACTCGCGTAGCGGAGGGGGCTTTTTGAGGGGGGGGTAGTGTAAGGACTTTTCTCGGCATTCCTTACGGAGCCCGACTACATCGCGTACAGCAACAGCTGTTGTTCGCCCGTTACTACTAACGGGAATTCGCCAACTTCATGCGCACTGTTTTGCCAAACCTCGCACTGCTGGCCCGGCCGTGTCGGCCTACGCTTCGGGACTAGCCCGAGCCTCGCTGCTCGCATAGCACTAGCTAGCTCGCACGCACCGCGTTACCGTTCGCATGTTTCGCGTATAAATGTTCGCTCATGCCCTCGCTCACATCTTTGTACTCATTTGACACCTTAGTGCAATTCTCGCTACTTCGATTCATTGCACCCGTAACACTACTTCTCGTCCGACCTATTGGGTGACGTGGCATGCGCCTCAGCCTCGTCTTTCGTTCATCGTAGGCGTGGCTTCCTCGTCAGCGAGACGTGTTACTGTACTTCACACCGCCGTAAATCTCCACACCCAAACCGCCAACTCTTCCGCTAATCGCCACGTCATGTGATCCCTCATTCTCAGCGTATGCCCGTGTGGGAGAGAACACCATCGCACACAGTGTTTCAGTACGGTTTAGTACGTTTCAGAACGATTTCATGGCGGAGTACTATGACATCCCAATTCGACATCCCCTATGTTGCGCGCCCTTCAAGCCTCCCAGCTTCCCCCGCAACCAACTCCCCCCACCCTCAACTCCCGGTTCCTGTGCGCTCCGCTCCACCTTACCGCCTTCCCTCTGCCTCACCATATATCCGACCGAGCCGAACCCAACCAAACTGAGAAGCCAACCCCCAGCAAACCGACAGGAGATCGACTGCAGCTGTTCGGCATTTTTGAGGTTCCAGTCAAGACCAGAGTAGGCGGCGCTAGGAGGAAAGCAGCAGTCGCTCGCAGCGGTGCATCGAGCCGGCCGGCCGGTCCCGCAGCTTCCTCGATCCCGCACGCAAGGTTTCCTGTTCCGCGTTCCGCTTGCATTCCTCCGACCATGGATGGCCACGGGGGATACAGGCTCTGCATGGTTACGATGCAGCGTTTCATTCACGACTAGCCGCCTGTCAGCTTCCGCGCGTCGCTTCCCTCCTCCGCTCCTCTCTGTATCCCCTCCCTGCCCCGCCCCACCATCCCGTCCCCAGCAGTCTTCGCTCTGCCTGCCCCTGGGCGTGTGTTTGCAGTTACCTTGTAGTAATCTGTTATTTATCGAGTAGTTTCCCCCGACTCTTGGGTCACGCGTTATCGACGAGCCATAACTGCGGCGCTTATCCACGTTTTGCTTCGGCCACTGGACGGAACCTTCGAGATTTCCGTCAGAAATATATATTTTTAACGCGTTGGGCTGCAGTATCGTCGGAACATTTGGACGGAAATTTTAAAAGCCTAAAACAGACATTTCTGTAGAGAAGTCCAGTCGCCGGCTCACATGGCACCAGCGTTCACCGCAGAGACTATCCGCAGCCATCCCGATACACCCTGCGTTCCCCAAGCTCCGTTCCAGAAACCGCTCTCTCAGTCGGACTTCAAGCCACAGGCCGAGCCAGGCTCCGAAGCGCCTCCAGCCGCTCCGGCTGTCGCGCAACAAGCACCAGCTACGTCGAATTCAGCGGCAACGCAGCGCGACGCCGGCGCCATGGCTTCTCCGCCAAACGAGAAAAACACGGTCGTTTGGGACGAGAAGAGTCTCTGGGACGACGCGGAAATGCCGGTGGCGTGGGCTGTGGAGGCGTCGCGGCTGTCGCTTTCCATTGAGAACCCCATCCGCAAGATCACCGACTCTCTCGCCGGCGTGCTCGCCGCGCCTTCTGCGCCTGCTGATGCCGCGCCTGTCGCTCCTCCGAAGCCGTTGATCTCGCTGGGTCAAGGGGATCCGACGGCGTTCGGGCATTTGAAGCTGCCGGATGTTGCGGTGCGCGCCGTGCAGGACGCTATAGCGAGCGGTCGCTATAACGGGTACCCGCCTTCTAATGGACTGCCTGACGCACGGAGGTACGCTGCTGACGTGTAGCGTGTGAGAGGTATTGGAATTTGGCAGTTCTTGAAAATTGTTATTATCCCGGTTCCAGTTGCTTGTCTGGACTGAAGAGCAGACGTGTAGGTTAACTAAGGTGCTGAAGGAAAAAGAAGCGAGACAGCATGGTGTGTGAAGTCGTTTTTGTATGGAGAAGCCTTAGCCTTCATGTGGTGAGACAGGTGCAAGGCAAACGCTCAGAGACCAGAAACGCTGGAAAGATAAGAGGGTTAAGTGACTCTACCCTTTTCCTCTCCCCCGTCCCTAGTTCCCTTTCCCCTCCTTCCTTTCCCTCCACCCCCCGTCCCGCTTCCCTCCGCTCCCTTCCCTCCGCCTCCTCCCTCCTTCCTTTCCCCCCAACCTACAACTCTGAGGCTTCTCCTAACTTCCGCTCGTCCCCGCTCCCTTTCCTCTCTTTATCTCCCATTCTCCTTCGTCCCTCTGCTTAACCCCAACCCATACCTTCTACGTCAGAACAGACTTTTGAGCGTAATCCATACCTTCCCCGCCAGAACAGAACAGCCGCTGAGCCTTTCCCACATCCCTCCACCGCCTCTCCTTCCTCCCCCCCCGTTCCCCAACATCCCTCTTCTCCTCCGCTTTCACAGGGCTGTGGCGAAACTGAGAGGTGCCTCAGACCACAACCTCCCCCTCCCCCCGCGCTCAACGAATCTCTTCTTCTTCGTGTTTTCCACCCAACCCCTTCCTCCCATGCTCGCCTGTCTACCATCACAGGTCCCTTAGAACACCCCCTTTCTCCCCTCCCCCGCGCTCAACGAATCTCTTCTTCTTCGTGTTTTCCACCCAACCCCTTCCTCCTTCCCATGCTCGCCTGTCTATCATCACAGGGCGGTGGCTGAATTTTGCTCCACGTCAGCACTGGAAACGCTCCCTCCTGCCACGTCAGCAGGGTGCGCGCCCACGTGCTCAGCTGCTGACGTGTACATCACTGGAGGCTGCGGCCCATCCATCCAACTGTGCCTAGATGCGCTTGCCAATCCGGACAGAAATATTTTACTGCCCCGCCCGGGATTCCCAGTCTACGAGTGCATGTGCTTGCACTCCGGATTGGAGCCTAGATTTTACGACCTACTGCCCGAGAACAACTGGGAGGTGGATCTCGGGCAGGTTGCAAAACTTCGTGATGAGCGCACAGTGGCTATACTGGTGTGCAATCCAGGGAATCCTTGCGGGCAGGTCTTTTCTCGGCAGCATGTGGTGGAGGTGAGTTCTGAGTTTTCTCCAGGCAGCAATTTGTGGGGCTGGAGTTTACCCAGAACTTCTCTGTTTCCGTAAAGTCCTCCTTTACAGTTCTCTTTCTTTCGCTTCACTCACATTCTCTCTCTTGCATCCCGCCCCCTCCCTTAACCTTCCCTGATTTCCTCTCCTTTCCCCTCCCCTCGCTTCCTCTCCCTTCCCTTCCCCACTCCTCATCCCCTCCCCATTTCTCATCCCCTAACCCGTCCCCTTAGATCCTCACCACAGCAGCGGCCCTCCGTCTACCAATCATAGCCGACGAGGTGTACGAGGGCATCGCCTTCCAGGAAGCTTCGCCCTTCATCCCTCTGTGTGCGGCCGCCATGCAGCTAGCCCTGCAACATCCGCCACAGCCCATGCAACCGCCCTCTCATGCCAACCATGCTTCTAACTCGGCTGCAGCAGCAGGCAGCAATGGGGTGGTTGGTAACGGGGTGCATGTGCAAAATGGAAACGGGCCTGCTGTTGGAGGAGGAGAGGCAACACATGAAGCTGCGCAGAACAAAGAGTCTCCTATAGCAGCAGCAGCGACGGCAGCATCAGCAGCAGCAGCGACGGCAGCAGCAGCAGCAGCAGCAGCAGCAGCGGGCAGTGTGCCGATACTGACAGTCAGCTCATTGTCGAAGCGGTTCCTGGTGCCAGGGTGGCGGGTGGGGTGGATTGCAGTGCACGACCCTCGCCACATTCTGAAGAACGCCAGGGTAAGTCTGAGTTGACTCTAAAGCAGCGGGCAGTGTGCCGACGATACTGACAGTCAGCTCCTTGTCAAAGCAATTTTTGGTGCTGGGGTGGTGGGTAGGATGGATCGCAGTGCATGACCCTCGCCATATTCTGAAGGACGCTAGGGTAAGTCTGAGTTGACTCTAAAGCAGCGGGCAGTGTGCCGACGATACTGACAGTCAGCTCCTTGTCAAAGCAATTTTTGGTGCTGGGGTGGTGGGTAGGATGGATCGCAGTGCACGACCCTCGCCATATTCTGAAGGACGCTAGGGTAAGTCCTGCATCGACTGAAAGGTCCTTAAAGCTGACTCATTAGGGTGGGGTGGATCGCAGTGCACAACCCTCGCCACATCCTAAGGTGTGCAAGGGTAATTTCTGAATTGACTTGGTCTTTTTTGGCTATGCACGAGGTTGTGGTGGGTTGCAGTGATTCTGAGGGATGCTAGGGTAAGCCTCCAAGGTTCGCTGTGCTTTGTTTGTCTCTTTTTGGCTCTCCCTCCTTCTCCTCTTCAAGTTCCTTCCTCCTCTTCCTGCACAATCTTGAGAAAGTTCCTTTTCCTCCTCGTTCAATCTTTCTTACTGATGTAATGGCGTGGTGCCTATTCCAATTCCTTAGCCCCATGTTCTTGCACCATGATTTCATGCTTCCATCATTCCATCGTCCCATGCTCACATGCTCACATGCTCCCATGCTCCCACGCTCCCACGCTCCCATGCTCCCACGCTCCCACGCTCCCACACTCCCACACTCCCATGCTCCTCCCATACAATCAGGTCATCGAGTCTTTGGAGCGAATCCTGCAGTACGCCCCTCAGCCGTGCTCCCTCATCCAGGTACGGTGTGAACCTCCAGTGCCCTCCTGTGCCTCCGAATCCTCTTTCACAGGAAGCATTGAGAAGGTGCGTCACTTACCGTTTCTCTATTTTTTTTTCCGCTGAATTCGTTTTGACCGTTCCTCCCCTTCTTCCCCCTCTCTTCCGCCCTCCTCCTCGCCGCAGGCCGCCCTCCCTGCTGTTCTCAACACCACGCCGCCCTCCTTCCTCCGCGACGTTGACTTTTGAGTCGACTCAAAAGTCTCCCCTGTGTTTCTTCCCCCTCTCCTCGCCGCAGGCCGCCCTCCCTGCCGTTCTCAACACCACGCCGCCCTCCTTCCTCCGCGACCTCACCTGCCAGCTGGCAGATGCCGCCCGCACCAGCCTGTCTCGGGTCGGCGCCATTCCGGGCCTGGAGTGCCCCAGTGAACCGCAGGGAGGGATGTTCCTCATGGTATGTGGGTGGCCAGTCACTATGTATGTATTGGCGTGTGTGAAGGTGCGTGTGTGTGTCTGTGTGTGCATGCGTGTCCACACACCAGCCTGTCCCGGGTCAGTGCCATTCCGGGCCTGGAGTGTCCCAGTGAACCGCAGCGAGGGATGTTCCTCATGGTATGTGGGTGGATGGATGTGCATGCGCATGTGCGTGTGTATTTATGTGCATACACATGCGTGTGAGCTCATGCGCGTTTTCATGTGAGACCTAGCATGTGTGGTCCGGCATGCGTGCGTGTGCGCCATGTCTCTTCCTCACTCGATCCTGCATACATATTCATGTTTCCTCTCCCCGTTCCACTCCTTTCCCCCCCTCCGTCCCTCGCTCCCTGCATCTTTCTTCGAAACCACAGGTTCGTGTCGACCTAGCTTGCTTCCCGTCATTCCCGGACGACATTTCATGGTGCAGGCAGCTGCTGCAAGAGCAGAGGGTGGTGTTGATCCCAGGCACTGCATTCCGGTTGCCCGGCTGGGTGCGGGTTGTGCTCTCAGTCCCTCCCCATATTATATCTGAGGCCTGGGATCGCATTGCTGCATTTTGTGTACAGCATTACAAAACGGCCTAGAGTTTGCTCGAAAGTCTGCTTAATTCATTGTTCTGGTGAATAGCTAGCTCACTGTTTATATTTTTGTTTTGGCTTCATAAGCTCCATCGTGATTTTACTAACAACCTTCGGATATTCGGCTCGGCGGAAGGCGAAAGGCTCACTGACGCGTATGTAGCATGTCAAGTCGTCTAAACCCTACTCGAACTTTCTAGGACGTAAACCAACCGTTCTGAAACACAGGGCTGTTCTCGAGACTTCGCCCTGGTGCATGCTCGCAGCATCAGCAACACGCCACTCTTGTGGCTCTCGGCCGCCGCTACCTGAGGGGCTGCGAGATAACTACCAGAAGAAAAGATAATTTCGTTTGCAGTCTCTCGGAGAGCGAGCACAGGAGTCTGTCCTTCGGGAGGGAGCGGTGCTAGCTACTTAGCTCTGGCCGTGACCGGTGTCAGTGGCATCGTTACCTTCGGCAGTCAGTAGTCTCGTGATTCGGCAGATCCGTGCTCTCGCCTCGCACTCTTGCCTCGCTTTCTCACCTCGCTCTCTCGCCACGCGGCTGGTGCCTGGCTCACCAGTCCCCAGGCTTGTTAGCTCGTCGCGGTTGTTGGACTCGCCGGCTTCATATCTCTTCAGATCGTCGCGAGTTTGCGTCGTGTTGTGCTTGAAGGCTGAATTTAACGCGCGCAATCATGGTAGGTTGAATTCGTACGACTTTCCTTCGAAAGAAATTAACATAGTTGGTGTACGTGGAAACCCTCTTCTTCTTTCGTTTCATCTCCATCTTCAAAGTCCCGACCTCTTTTTCACGTACCATACGATGTAACACCTGCTCTTTTTCACGTGCAGGACCTGCTCCATCATTCCCCTGTGCAGCTCTTGTTCCTCTTTTTCTCCTCCGTCCTTTGCTTCTCCTCGATCATCGCAGTGCAGTCCGTGAATGGATCGAATCGCCGATACTGGCGTCGGACTTGTGTTCCTGTCCTTCGTTCGTCTTCCCTTCGTTTTCCTTCATTCACCCGTCTCCTCGATTGCGATCCTCCACGTCCTTCCTTTTTTCGTCTCCGTCGTCGCAGTCCAGTCCGTTCGTCGCAGGAGTCGCGGTGGCGACGGCGGCTCTCGCGGCGCGGTACGGCATAGAGGCGTGGCAGGCCTTCAAAGCGCGACCCGCGGTGCCGCGCATTCGGCGCTTCTACGAGGGAGGCTTCCAGCCGACTATGACGCGACGAGAGGCTGCTCTGATTCTTGGGATCAGGTATGCGCGTTGGGTACATCCTTTAACGCGTACATCAGCCAGCGGTGCCTCTGGTTCTTGGGATCGGGTGTGCGCTTTTGAGTGAATACGTTCGTCGTATAGTATCATGCGTCCATCGTTTCATGTGTCCTTTTTGGCGTGTGCCTGACTAATTCTTTCTGGCATGATACCTTTGAACCACGATTCTGCGTGCCTGCCATCGGATTCCTTTATCACCATTCGCTGTTGCATCCAAATGTGTTAAGAGCGTATGTTACGTTTTGAGACGTCTCAAAACATCTCTGTTTACATGTGGCCATCGGATTCCTTTATCACCATTCACTGTTGCATCCAAATGTGTTAAGAGTGTATGTTTCGTTTCCTCTACCCTCATGTACCCTACATCCATTGCTAGCTGACAAGTGTAACACTTGGCTTACATTCACTCAACTTTGCTTCACATATACAACGCCATCCCACATCACCCACGTTTCAGGGAGAGTGCAGCGCAGGAGAAGGTGCGGGAGGCCCACAGGCGAGTGATGACAGCCAATCACCCAGACGCAGGTGGCAGCGACCTACTGGCGTCCAAGATCAACGAGGCAAAGGACTTGCTCCTAGGCCAGACCAAGGGCAGCGGCTCCGCCTTCTGATTGTGAGAGATTTTTATCATTGCAAGAAAATCGCAACTTGCGGGCAAGGGCAAGGATGTATGCATGGGCCAGTTCAAGGGCAGCGGCTCCGGCTTTTGGTTGCCTCCATGCATCATGTGATGTGATGTGACTGACTGGTTGGGGACTTGGGAGGAGCACAAGGCAGCGGAGTGGGTTTTGGGCGATGCTATGAGAGTTGACACCAGGCATGGCCAAGGCTCAGATGAACAGGTTGACGGGTTGACCAACTGCGCTGCTTTCATGCACCAAGGGTTTATAAAACAGCCGAACAGTGAGCTGCACGTGTGCTGTGGAGGTAGTTGCTGGTCTGTGACAAGCTCTGAGTTTCCTCATCCTGCTGTGGCCTGAAGCGTCGGCGGGAAAAGTTGAGATGTGAAGAACCTGTCTGTCACTCATGCTGTTCAAGGCAAAAGAGTTGTTTGAACATGGTGGTGTCTGGTCTGGAGTCTGCATTGTACTTCAATCCTGGCTCTGCTTTGGGAGAGAGATGTCCATGCTGCAGGCTGTATGCTTGTTGCGCTCTGTGTGGTGCATGTGTACAAGGCTGCTGGCATTGTACTGTAGCAAGGCCAGGCCTCAGGGACTGTAGCAAGGCACTGGTCTGGTCTGGTTGGTAAATCAGTATATATGTAAATACAGAGAAATTCGTCAAGCTAACTTAACTTACGGTACACCTAAAAAAAAAAATGTCCAGCTGGTAAAGAGACAGACAGGAACTGAACCTGCATAGACCAGCTGAGAAGACTAGAGAGAGGGATGAAATCATACCCTCGGAAGACATATCCTGTATTCTTTCAAAGGCTCACATTCGCCCTACGCCCCTCTACCGTATTTTACTAGTGAGGGTCCAAAGAAAAACGGAGGTCTGCCCTGCCCTGTTTTGGGTCTCTGGCACTTCTTATTTCCGAAACTTCACCTTAACCATGCGAAATCAACGGCTAAGAGAAACTGACCCAAGCGCGTTGCTCGCCTTGTCCCGCTCGGCATTCCCAAGGAGGGACATTTTGCGCCACCGCCGTTGATTTCGCTGCTGGACCTGCGAAAACTGGCATGGCCGGCGCCTCGTGCCTCGGCAGGCTCCCGCTGTCGTAGCCAATCGACGTCTCCTGTCTCGCGGAACTTCTCGTCGCAGAAGGCTGACGTGACACTGCTTCGCGAGTCGCGTGACTCCCAAAACCCGCGCTTCCATGCGGTTCCTCCCGAGGCTGCTGATACTTCTCGGCCCAGTTTTTCTCAGGCGGAATTTCCCTCAGCCACGATCCTTGAGAGCTCTGCGCCGACGCAACGGGCGGCTGATTAGGGTTAGGTGGCTCACGCTTGGAAACGCCGCTTGCTTTCCGCCGACGCTTAGGCTTCGGCTTTCGAAAGCCGGGAGATCTGAATGTAATCCAGTCAAAGGCAAGAATGCGCTTTCGGCGGAAGGATGAAGAGGAGGTGGTGGAATTGGAGTAGCTGCCGTCGAGTGCGGACATTCGGGAACGGATGTCCGGGCCTTCTCTTACTCTCGGTAGGCTCATGTGGGAACCCATTCAGCCAAAGCGACAGGCGCAGGAGGCGGCAGACTTTGTCACGCTGGAAGAAAGATGCGAGCAAATGCGAGCTCGCTACGTTTGTCACCGAAAAGCTTCTGATGGTAAACTGGTTCGGAAAAACTAATCTATATTTACACAAGAACGAGCGCTGAGATGGAGGACGCGGAATTATAATCCAAGTAAAAGGAGAGGAGACATCTCACATGAGTCAACACAAGAGGGCCATGGGAGACAAGACACCGCCGTAGAAAGAATAATTGGCTAGAGATTGAAGGGGCTGGTCTGCTATGCTAAGGGCAGGTAATTTGAGCTCCTTGACAGTTCATGCACAAATGTTGAGGCTGGTGAGTAGTGGCTTAAAGTTGTGAAATAATTACACCGCTCCGGAGTGCATAACATCGTAACCAACCGCTCTGTATAAAACAGGAATTGAGCTCTCCTGAATTTACATCCAGACTGTCCCGAGAGGTGGCTTTCGTAGGGCGCGCCAATCATGGAGGTGTCCCCAGATCTCTCCTCGATGTCCCATGAATCCACCACATCGCAGGTCCTCCTCAGGTGTTATGCGATGCGATGCGATGCGACCCACGATGGTTTTACGGCAAGGCACCAGCAGCCCAGCCCATCCCCATCTGCACGCATCACCCCGTTACTGGACCAGCCCTCCACGTGGTTTCTCCAGTAACTCGCGTGGTTTTAAAATTGCTAGCTCTTTACTAAACATGTCCCTCAAATTGCCGGATTTAGCCAGCCTTGGGCATCGTGGGTGACGAGTTGCGAATAAAGAGCTGCAATTTTAATCGCGTAGGACCTTTGCTGTGGATTTCTGTGACCAGTCTGAGAAGATTTTTTTTCAGTGGGTACAGGTAAGGTATGGTAGAGGTTATAGGGGAAACCCTCTTTGGTATTACACGCCTCGCTGGGTAACAAGGTTGTTCTATCCACTCCCAGATGAGCACCTGTGTAGTCCCTTTTAGTGGGGACTGGCACCGCAGGGGGGGTTTGATCCCGGGAGGATGTATTTTTCCGTGGGATAAAGCCTAAAACAGAAACATCTCGTCTTGGTCTTCCCTGCTCCCCTTCTCTTGGAGACACCCAACCAATCAGCTCATACCTACGTGGGCAGCTACAAGATTTGTCTGATGATAAATTCTCAAAACGGGAGAGATGGGTGATACATATGATTCACCATTCTGTATGCTACCACGAAACTTATTTGATGGGATGGCAAAAAGTGCAATGAAATTAATGGAAGGGCTCATGTATTTGAAAGCTACTATAACACCCTAACGAGGATGAGGGACAGGTATGAGAAATAAGACTATGCTATTCGAGAAATGTTTAACACCCATTTGCTGTGTTCGGCTCCAAGATGAACAGAAATGAGAAGCCACTTAGTGGCCGTTCTCCTGTCTTGAGTGCTCTTTCACCAGAAAAACAACTCGCTAGGCTTCTCCTGCCAAAATGAGTCTGCAAGGCCACCCAAGAACTCCCAAACACAAACAAGTATATCCAAACACAGATTCAAGCACATGCACACATGCACACGCACAAACACACAGAAGCACATACCAGCACACTCAAGTGACAGGAGTGGAGGCTGAGGTGGGGCAAGTAAGGGAGGGTTGTCCATGTCGTGAGAGGGAGAGAAAAGAGGAAGCGGGAACGAGAGGGGGTGGGGGGAGGGAAGCGGGGGGCAATAGGGGGGAGAAGGGGGAGGAGAGGGGGGAATAAAAGAAGGGCAGAGGGGAAGTCGATGGAGATTGGATGCAAGAAGAATAGGAGGGCGGGATCAGCAGAAAAAGACAGGAACACAAGCGCGGGGCGAAAAACAAGCACGTTCCTGATTGGTACAGATGGAGCTACTGGTTTCACAGTGAGACCCGTTTGGCCATGCATACATGCATGCATTCATTCAAGGGACACGCTTGGCCATGCATGAATGCCTGGCCGTGCATGCAATATTGCGTTCATGCATGGGACCCGCTTGATTCTTCACACCTCTTAGTGACTGCAAGTAAGGGGACACACACTCATAGCCATGCAGTGTGGAATCACATTAAACACTTTCGGATTCGCTTCCCGAATGTTCCCACCTGAGAGTATTGGTTGGTGGAGCTGGCGGGAGTTCCCGCGACTCTATACGAAGTTGAGCCAGCCAGGCTCGACTGGCGTTGTAACAGGGGCCGTAGTAACCGTTGCAACCGCTGTCATCGGTGTAACCGGTGTAATCGGTGTGACAGCTGGCAGTGCCGAGGTGGTAACTACAGGAAAGGTTGGATTTATGGCGGGGGTGTGGTCCAATAATGAGGTTACTGTAGCAGGTGTCGCCGTCGTAGGTGTGACAACAGGAACGTCGCCTAATCGCGAGGGAACTGTAGCAGGTGTCGGCGTCGTAGGTGTGACAGCAGGAACGTCGCCTAATAGCGAGGGAATTGTAGCAGGTGTCGCCGTCGTAGGTGTGACAGCAGGAACGTCGCCTAATAGCGAGGGAACTGTAGTCCTAGGTGTCGTCGTATTAGGAGTGACAGCAGGAACGTCATCCAATAGCGAGGGAACTGTAGCAGGTGTCGTCGTAGTAGGTGTGACAGCAGGAACGTCATCCAATAGCGAGGGAACTGTTGAAGGTGTCGTCGCAGAAGGTGTGACAGCAGGAACGTCATCCAATAGCGAGGGAACTGTAGCAGGCGTCGTCGTAATCGGTTTGACAGCAGGAACGTCGTGCAGGAGCGATGGGATTTCAATATGAAGAGCCGTTGGAGCTTCGATAACCATGGGAACGTCATCTAGGAAAGACTGTATTCCGAGAAACGTTTCTGCACCCGATGTAACCGTGGGAAATGCGGTAACCACAGCTGATGGTGTAACGGCAGGAAGAACTGGAGCCGTTTCAACTGCAGGAACAGGAGCAACCGGAGCTGGAGCGCCGATCGCGAGCACATCTGTATCCATCCGAACGGCTGTGACGACTGGATTTGCTGGTGGAGCAAACGCAGTACCAGGAGCAGGGGCGGGAGAAGGGGCGGGAACAGGAGCAGGAGCAGGAGCAGCCGGTGTAACCACATGAGTTCCTGTAACCATTGGAGGCGCAATGGTCGCAACAGCTGTTAAACCGGCTGTAGCTGCTGTAGAAGAATCTTCAGAATGCGCGGCGACCACGGTGCTGCCCCTGCATGGCGCCGTTATAGGGGGCGTAATCGCCGCCGTGATGGGCGGCGAAGGTCCAGCCGGGTTAGGCGGCGAGGGTCCCGCCGGCTGTGACTGATTCTGAGGCGCATCGCCACTCGGCGGCGACGCAGGGAACATGGGCGGAGGCGGAGGCGAGATCATGCACGTAGATACGCGCATCGACTCCCGCGCGCGCTTCCCCGCGCTTTTGGCCTCGGGGGAAGCCACATGGCTCCGCACGTTCTCCCGAATAATGTCCCCCAACGTTGCCGCTTCCGC